TGGGCATTACATGTGCCTGAGCAACATTAAGCCAGAAAGCTCACTGCTCTTTCTTGCTGGCTACAGAGAAGATAAATAGGCAGCATTAGACACTTGAAAAATAAAATGCTGATGCACCAATGCACACCTAGAGGCATCTGGACAGAAAGATCAAGAATATCTTGCGAGCAGCAGATGCTGCAGGGAGGAGTGGGGCTGTAGACTTGAAACACCAACTGTTCAGGGACCAAAGAGGCACCCAAGCAACCAGGGCTGCTTAGTCAGCTCCATCTAGTAGCCTAAACCTTATTTTAAAGAGAGGTGGTCTCTGGAAGAACACAAGATCCATCTGACTTGTAATCTAATCTTCTAATGACATTCATGGCATATAAACTGCTTTCCATGGAAACCTATCTGCAGAATGATATGGATGCCAGATGCCTTGATTTAATCAGCCCATATAATATCCTTAGTTATGTTTAAACATCTGACCCATGCTAACAAGAACGGGTACTTCAAAGCCGGGTGAATCATTTTTCATACCAGAGAAAAGAAACATCAGAAAAGCCAAATTCACAGCGCACACCCATTGACGTCCCATTTTCTAACACGTTTACCATTTTCACTGACCTTGGGAATGAATGCATCACCAATTCAGTCATTTCTTCCAAACGCAGGGTGGTGGTGTCCATATTCCCACTGAACCCTGAAGAGGATATCACGTGAAAATATATCCAATCAAGGCTGCCCTGTAAATTTTGTGCTGGTTCGGAGTGGAATGATGCATATTCACCATGTTTCTCTGGCATTTTAAACGCTCTCTGCTGGGGAGCAAACACAAACCTGCAACAGTTCAACCAGCAAAGAGCTCCTTTCAGTGTTACAAAAGTCTGAATGCACAAATAACATTTAACTGTCCTATTTTCTGTCTTTGAATAGCATAGCAGTATGGGATTTATATTTACCTGCACCTCCTTTCTTTCGACCTCTCTCAATGCACGGGCACATACACAGTGAAGAGGAACAAGGTTCATGCACCAGGAATGGGAACAGTAAAACTTCCTAGAGTTGTTTGCTTTGGCACAATGGATTTTTGCCGACATGTTTGCATCACTCATAGTCTACGATGCATGAAATATTTAGCATTATCACTAAACTGAAAGTTTATGGACTAAACCCAAAGTTCACTGAACACCCAGCAAGAACAACTCCCAGCAAGAGGGACCAGACACTGTCTCAAGCTACAGAGTTAAAAATAGTTCTCAACTTTCAGATTTCACAGATGGCCTTTAGGCTACAGTTCTGTTTGAATGATGGGTGATTTGGACAGGACACTGCAGTACTGCATCATGAAGGCCATGGAGATGCTGCAGCAGGCAGGGAAAGAGCAGCTGGCATGCGTGAAGGTGCAGATAGAATCACAGAATCATTTAGGTTGGAAAAGACCTTTAAGATCACTGAGTTCAACCATAAACCTAATGCTGACAAGTCCATCCCGTCCAAGATAACCCACCTCCAGACTGGTGGCAGTTGCCAAGAAGAACCTGTGCTTTGATTCTTTGGCTTTAAGAAAGTTTGCACTAATGGAGGTTGGTTATTATAGAAACTGATATTGGGAGGGGAGCTAGGGTAATTGGAAACTTCTGCTTTCCTAGGTAGTATTTATAGGAGGCTTTATTGGTTGCTGTGATGAAGGTAAGGACTTGAACGCCTTTAAACAACAAAAAGTCTTACAACACATTTGTTATAAAGCAAAATCCTTTGCCAGCTTGACAAGAGGTGCATGCCCAAGTGCTAAGATGGTGTTAGATGTAAGAAAGATCGCTGTTACACAGCCACGAAGGCTCAAAGTCTGCAGCAGCTGAAGACTGAACCAGGCTCAGCAGCTTCGTCCTACCCAGCACTGCTCGGCAATTAAGTGCCGCTCAGAGATGCTACCAGGCACCAGCACGACGGAGGCTTTGTCGGTCATCTGTGCAAGATGGCACTGTGCTAATATGCCCTGGACTGCTTTTCAGAGCATCTATCCATGAATCTTGGTGGTGTTCAAGCAACTCCTGACATGCTTGGTATCTACTATAGCGCTCAATCTTTAATCTCATCCTAGGACAACGGGGAACAAAGAAAACAGGTCTCATTTAAAAAAAAAAAAAATTGCAACAAATGAATTTGATGTGTGCCCCAATTGAGACCAAGCTGCAGCTACCACTAGTAATTTGAAAATAAAAATCAGTAATTTGAAAACAAAATTAGTAATTTAAAAATAAAAATAAAATTAAAATAACTGCATCACAAGACTTTCTACTACAGACAGTGTCATGGAATAACATGGATATGATCAAATATAAGAGAAAACTTCCAGAAGCTGCTTACATACTGAAAGAAAATTCTTAATTGCTGAAATTTTCCAAAATTAGGACATGTTGGTAAAAACTGTGTTTTGTGGGAATTGAAACAAGGGATGGATCTATTATTATACTCCAACTGCAAACAAAAGCAGGCTCAGAAAGGCCAGAAACACCCAGAAAACAATCCACCCCACTCCTTGCACCTCCTTAATCTTCCGTGTCTCCAACTGGTACCACAGCTCGCAATGCCGTAAGTGTGACACCACTACACGGAGCTAGAAGCGCTCAGGGCTTTTAAAGCGATTTCTTCATTTAACTTCCAATTTATGAAGGCATTTTACCATCCTTCAACTCTCATTTTCTCTGAGCAAACGCAGACCCAGCTTTGCAAAATGTTAAATAAATGGATGTCGCCAAATTATTAAAATTAAAGGCAAGTGCAGAGTTGGCCAAGCGAATCATGGCTGGAAACCAACTTCCAAAATTCCCTGAGCAGCTTTCAGATGATTGTGGAAAGATGCCATCAAAGAAAATGCTGTGTCTGCAAGCATCACCTCACCCTGGTATGTTTGGAAAGCTTATAGAAAGCGTGTGCCATGGGGAGTGAACTGTGTACAGATCATACATCATTCTGCTACCTTCTGGGGGATGGCCGAAGCCATTAAACAATGGTTGTCTTACTTCATCTTAGCTTTATTTTTCTGACTTCCTAGTGACAGAAGCATCCTATGAAATATTTGGAGAAGCTTGTTCCTCAGGCTCACAGGTACTTACCACCTGCCACTGCTCCCTTCTCACAAGAGGCTTTTAGGCAAAAGCTTACTTGAACCTTGCAGTAACTCAGAGCCTTTGCTAACCATACGTTTGATGGGAAATGTGAATTTCCAGCATTTTACCTGTAGCTTTCAACCCATGTGAAGTATGTTTGGCCAGCACTTTCTGGGTTTGGACGTTTTAGTACCTTTTTAGGATAAGGATCGTGCCACACGTGAACTCCTGGCCAGGCACACTCAAGCTGGCTGATTCTCTGTTGGAAAGAATCGTTGTGCATTTTACAAACACCAGATGCTCAGTGATGGGAAAATAAAGCATACTTTCCAGTAAACAAAAGCAGATTTCATTTGTCTCTGAAGCATAAACAAAACCAAAAAAAAAGTGAAAAAAGTGCAAAACAGAACAGCACAAATCAGGCTCGTACATATGTGTCAGGGGGGGAAAGTGCTGAAAACAGCAGGAAACGCGTGTACCTGGAGACGGGTTAATGAGCTCCACAGTGCAACTATGGTCTCAGGGGCTGCAGCCTCCTTTCCCCAGCGCAGGGCTGGTGTGGACGCAGGAGCCGAGCACCCCACATGTAATGCCTCGTCTCTCAGGCACACCAGAGGCTGCAACTTGCAAGGGACAGAAAGCTCATCTGGGAGGGAAGACAAGCCTGAAGGAGCTGATAGGGAATGAAAAAAAAAAAGTTAAACAAGTAGGGGCTTCCCCAGCAGCAGATTCAGGAGTGGAAGTAACGTATGCTAGAGGAAATGCTTTGAGACTGCCTGAGATTTACTGCAGTCTTGGTCAGTTCTCATAGCCCAGAGCAAGTATTTGAACATCACACAGTGCAAGGCAAAATCTTTTCTCTTCCTTGCTGCTGCAGGACAGGGAACTCCACATTAGCTCTTAAGATTAATGAGTGCGAGTAATAAGGAAAATCTTGCAATGCCATTATATAAACCAAGCACAGACTCACCCATGAGCTCTTCTCCCCAGTCACACATGAAATTCAGTGAGAGGTGATCAGAAACCCAGCCTGTCTACTCGAGAGATAATTGAGAGGGGACAGGTTAATAGCATGCAAAATCACAGCTGGAGTCTAGCAGCCCTTTAAACAATTCCATGTTTATTGTCCTGAGGTTTGCAGCTCAGACACACAGATCTCTCCCAATTGATGATAAATCTGTTCTTTCTAAGCTGCAGCACAAAGATGCTATCGCTGACCCACCACCCAGCAAGTGGGTACCACGATGGGGCAGCTACTACACAGGTCTGGGGGCAGATGCAGTGGGAGGCAGGAGGGAGCCACTTCTAAACTAGAGGAATATCAAGGCTGGAGATGCTAGAATTTCAGATTAGGGCTTGTTTTGCTTTGTTTTTAATCACTGTAATTCCAAACCATCCGATCATTTTCTTCCAATTTAGGAGAAACTCTTTCTGCCTTTAGAGGAAATGCTGGCACAATCGCGGACAAACTACTCCCAAGTGAAAACAGCAGGAATCCTAAAAAAATGAACTGTGCTCTGGACTGGAGATAGCCACAGGGACTAAATCCTCAGGCACCAAAATGTTCTTTCTTTCACCTGAGCTGAAGAACACAAATCGTCAGGGTGTTGCAGGTGGAGCCCACACATCTGCTAACCCCTAGGAAGAACAGAGCAACCATCAGAAATGCTTGTGGCCTAACCTTGTAGGGAGTTTTCCAGTGAAAATGCCAGAAAATGGTAAATTATAAGAGTCAAAATATTCTGAGGAATCACACCAACTTCTGAGTACTTTCATGCCAGGACAAACTGAGAAGCTGGGTACAAAGAAAGCCAGCGCAGAAATGAGGGGTCTAAAGAGCCCTCTTCAGCCTGTTTTGAAGGACCAGGTGGAAAGCCAAGAGCTTTGGGCTGCTCTAAGCAGCAGTGGGTGACAGCAGCCACCCTGCACTGCCGCAAGCTGCCGTGGCACCCCGAGGAAAAGGCAGGCCAGCACCGCTGAGAGGACCTGTGAGCTTGTGAAAGAGGATCTGGGCCGCGGGGAGAGGCTCCGGAGCGGGGCCTCATCTGCACATTCACGATAGTTTACATTCTGTCTGCCATATCCCTCCTGAAAATTGTCCAGGGGTGGCAAGGCAGGAGTTGGCAATGGTGCAGGAAAACAGTGCCCAGTCCTTGCCTGTAACCCCCGCGCAGGCAGCACGGTTCTCCGGCCCCCTCCAGTGGCTACAAAACACGCAGAGTCGTCAGCTACAGCCTCCGAGGCCGGCAGGACTCAAGGCTTTTGCAAATCCAGTCCCTGCTCTTTGCTGCACAGAGCTGTACTCCTTCCCATGGTGAGGCAAATAATTAGGCAGACAGCCACGCTCTTGCACTAGAACATCTTTATTTGGCTACACATGGATCCAGGCCCACCACCGATACCTCCTGTCTGCCCTCAGATCTGATCTCACTGCTGAGCACAGTCACTTGACTCTGGGCAAAACCAACAGAGCACTGATCGGCACTTCTTGAAGTGGGACTCTGTCACCTCTATTCTGTCCTGGGCAGGTTCTTACACTGCTTCACCCGAACAGGAAGGGCTAAAAAGGTGCTGTATCTCAAAGGCCAGTTTTGGTGTAAAAAGTGCTTTACATGATTTTGGGGATGGGAAAAAAAAAACCAAAAACAAAACCAACACTTCAACCCAACAGATGATGTTCCTCTGCCTTTTGCAAAACTTCCAAAGAGCAGGAAATTATATTTGGGTACCAGCTACCAGCATTTCATGCTCTGGAAATCCCTCAATAGCAACAAAGACAAGAAGAAAGCCCACATGAAAAAGACTGCTTTGGATCTGCTTTGCTTATTCCAGATCTGTTTTGGTTCTTTAACCACTTTCCAAATCTTGTTATCCCATCCCACCCAAGCTTACAGCAAGGCCACACAATGCATGCTTTATATATTATGCACAAATATAAGAGGCATTCTTCAATACAGGGGATGTATGCTGCAGAAATGTTTAACTTCCCACCCATGACTTCACGATAGTCATCTGTTACTCATGCTATCTGAGCATGCCCCAACGGACAACATGGAAAAGAACACATTTACAAAAGAAAACACTCTGCTACATAGGAGGAAATGGTGAAGTCTGAGTTAAGGCAAAAATAAATGCTGTTTACATTGTGTAAAGATATATAATATGCACTCAAGATTTCATACTGGAAGACTGTTGTTTCTGGGGTTTAAAAAGGACAGGGGCAGACAGCCAAAGGATACAGGTTCTGGCCCGACAGGACAGGACACCAAGGTCTATGAATATCATGAACCTTTTGGGATTCATTTTTATCCCTCTACAGTGAAAATTCCAGATCTTCTAAGTCTGCGTGTTAAAGCACTTCACTTAGGCAAAGCTGGGTTTATGTAGCCTCAGCAATCAATTTACACAGGGACTTACTCTAACAGTAGTCTTTGCACTTACAGCTTAATATTACATGACTAGTCTCTCTGAGTTGGACTCCCTTCCATCCCTCAAGCCCAAAGAAAGACCATCCAGGTTTAACACTGAGACCTTTGCAGGAGGCACAGTTAAGATGGAAGTTGGATGGGTAGTCCAGGCAAAATGTCTCCTGCACTTCAAAGCTTTGATTCTGCAAATGTCCGATTGATTAACTTCAAGCTTGTTTGCTATTGGGTTGGGAGAACCATCCTTTGACAGGTGGAACGTGGGCTGGAGATATCCACAGTCAAGGGAATCCTTTGGACTCCAGATCAGTTGGATCTGAAACCTCATGCAGTCCTTCAAGCTTGAGGTCAAAAGCACCACCCATACACACAGAGGGCAAAGACCCCAGTCCCCACACGGCTTGAGCTTACCAGTGGGACCTGCAAAGGAATCGTATCAGTAGCGGGTGTTGACAGAGGAAGAGGGTGCTCTTTGCATTTTCACTCACATGGGAGTTAGGGTTCTGGGAGGGAGCACAGCTGCTAGACTGGTCAGGGTGCCAACCGCTGTCAATCCCTAAGCGCGTTGAGGGCAGGTCGGGCAAGGGCACACCAGACAACAAACCAAATACTGAAGCATCCATAATTAAAATTAAAAACAGGTCATCTGCAGAGGCTTAGCTTTAACTCTATACTCGAGTTACATCAGGCGCTGAGTTAACAACTAAATTCTCTGAATTTCTTTGGGTTACCCTCCATCATTCACACCATAGCTCCTTCCAGGTGGAGCCAGGTCTCCCCAGTGGAGCATATGCCTTCCACATCCATCCTACCACCTTCACCCAAAAAGGCACTAATGGGTGACCACTTTGCAAAACTGTATGAACAAGTCAAAACCAAGAGGGAAAAAAAGTCGACCCAAAAAAGCTGTTGCCATGGCATTTTCTCAAGACAACCTACCTCATTTTCTGCCTCTATACACTGGAGCTAGAGTATGTTCGGCCTGTGCTCCTGCAAAACATTATGGTTCCACCAGCAAGGTGACAAGAGGCTTTACAACCTGTTTGCATCTTTCAGGCATGTTAACACTTCTATAAAGCAAGCGCACAACTCTCAGGCAACATGCTCATGGGCTGCCCTGGCCTCCAGCATGGTGAAAACCTAAACCATCTGCAAGCCTGGAAAGGAAACAGTGCAAAACTGCTGCCTTCTCACCTTGAAAGCAGGCCTACAGCTACATATCCTTGCCATTATATCTCGTCTGATGAGGGTTCTGAAAGTATCCTTTGCTTTGGTATCTGAGCACCAAGTATAACCAGACTTTAGCCTGTTCTCAGCAGTGCAAATTTTGCCACCTTATTCTAAAATCAGTGAGCAATGTAAAGGGCCAGGTGAACCTTCCAGGCCTGGCCATGGAACTGAAATAGTAAGAAAAAATCATTTCTCCTGCCCTTCCTACTTCTCTGAAAGCATCTTGGAAAGGCACGTGTTCTTCAGCAGATAATAAAACATACAGAAAGTCCATTGTTGCTTACTGAACTCCACCCTAAACACATCCCATAATGGGAGGACCAAAACTCAACTGTGATTTTGCATGCATTTTTGCCTCTGGAAAAAGAATATTTTGTAACTAGTGTCAAGACCTATGGGGCAAGTCCATGGGGAAGCCTTGAGAATCTGGTCCTAGAGTGGCAGGATAATAAGGGCTGTTGGCCAAAGGCATCTGGAACCAAAATGCAAGGTAGCTTTAACAACCCCACTTCCCTGTTACTGCAGTTGGGCAAGGAGAAGAGTGACCAGAGCCAGATCCCACTCCCAGGAGGGGCTGTCTTACTGTCCTTGCCATCCCATGCTTAACTCAGCTCTCAACAACAGGTCCCCAGGCACTAATATCATTACAATAAATAAATGCCCAATATCTTTGGGATCACATCTGGAAAAAAATACCCTTGTCAACTGCATGAGTATGGGAAGAACATCTGACAAAGAAAAATTGTCAAAAAAAATCAACTTGTAACACAGGGACTAGAAAGAACTTGAATCAGTAAACTAAAAGCAAGCACCAGTTATCACCTGAGTTTTTATCCAAGATCCTGAGGGACCATCACCTCTGTCCTCCTAAAGTTGCTATTTTGACAATGTTTCCTACGCAATGACTACGTCACTACCTTTTGGAGCTGGTTGACCCTGAGATCCTGACGAAAGGCTGTCGACTCACTGCAGAATGCCACTCTTCTGTGAGCTTGTGACATGAAGGTAAACAGCAATGTAGAGTCACTGAAAATCGAAGGAGCCCAGGCTGCTGGATGCAACACTACATTTAGAAGCACATAACCTCCTATCTCTTCAAGAAAAGACAAAAAAGTCCTTTCTTTTCCCTTTTCCACAATGCTGGTAGAAACAGTATGCAAACTAAAAGATCTGTTAAGTGGTTAGATCTGGGAGGGTTTTCTCTGGTCATACTGCCACCGTGGGATGTGGAGCAAAACATAGGTAGGAACTTCTATTTCTATGCACTGTGCATTGCCAGCTACTTTACCGGGCCTTCAATAACATCATAATCACTGCAATATTGCAAGCAGGCATCTAGAGATCATTTTGGCGACTTTTTCTTCATAATCGCACAGATATATTCACAGGCATTGCATCAATGTGCAAATCCAGCCCTGCAACACAACAGTTTAATTTAGCAACCCCTCCACTGTTGCTCCTGGTCACTCTCAAATATTCTAACCCATTTTACAGTTAACAGAATATTAATTTAGGCATTGCTTTTCCAAAAAGTACCCTAGAAATCTTTCAGGTTCACGTGCTGGCTTCATCTGAGTATCACAGTTCTTGTCCCACAACCACTGCCGTGGCAACTGAGTCATTGGGATTGCACCCCCACAACAGGCTGTGTAGTTATATCAGTTTCCAGAGGTGGAACTACCTTTTCCTCTTCTCTCCACATTTTCTCCTTCACGCTGTGGCAGCGGTCACGAGACTTGACCCAGTCCCAGGCAGTCGTGAGGAGGGTTGGCCAGCCCCTGCCTCGTCCATCACAGTGCTGGAGGGAGAGCCAAGCCGCTGCAGCAGATCTGGTGCTCTGTAGAAACGACTCAGACAGGATAGGATTACACATTCTGCTACTCTCCCATCTGCGCGATGGGGCCTCTACATGAAGAAAGCCAAGTCAGCAGCTACCTTGCAGCACGTAGAGACATGGATACAATTTTCCAAGTAACACACAGCACTGGACGGGAAACTTGATGCACTTCACACCAGAAGAGGACAGAAGAAAATACACCCACTTTTACAGCAGCAATCACAAACTTCATACGGAAGAGAAAGGACAGGTATTGACGGCAGAAAGAGAACAGTGCTGTTGTAAAACCCTTACCAAGGCGAGGAGAGACTCCCTTATATGCTCTAGGAAGAGGAAAGGCTTAAATATGGACGCTTTCCCCACGCAGAAGTGCTGCTGAGACCCAAGGTTTGTGTAACACAGATCAGCAACAGAGGTAGAGTCATAACAAACAGACATATGCTAACAGCTATAGGATATATTGTATTTGCTCATGTAACAGTCACACACACTTATCGGTCTCGTTGCCCAACCAGTTACAAACAAGACATCACCAGTTAGATAACCGGTAGTTTAAGAATAGACACACAAAATCACTGCACCCTAAATTTGGAGGGGAAAATCACAGGGGCAGGGAATTATGTGCACTCCATGAGCAATACAGTATTTCACTGTTGGGGAAGAGTTAGGATTGGCACCTGGCTTTATCAGCGCACAAATTTACCAAATCAAACTGTCCTGGAAAGCAGCCAGTTGCCCTTTAACTGTGTTCGTGAAGTAAAAATTGTTTAATGGGGTCTGGGACTGGAAGGACATGGATCAGATCCAGACGAGATTTGCCAAGTATTCTTCGTACAGCTATGCGGCAGAGAGACAAGAGGCTCCGGGTGCGGCCTGCAGTGAAGAAAGCAGAGAAAAACCTATTGAGGGACACAGAGAGGAAGAAAGAGGGATAACAGCATGTAAATTGTGCCGTGCTCTGGCTGACAGATGAGGAGTCATTTACCCCTTCCAAATGCTGAGGCCACGTCCTGCACAGCAACACGAAGGCAGTGCAGGAATGCTGAGAATGCACACATCCTTCCCGTGAGGAGGCCAGACCTTTTGGACAAAGATTTGGAGCAATGATAGCTGCCACACAGGGAAGCTTGAAAGGGCAAGCTGAAGACTGCATGAGGGTGTGACCTGCAGGCCAGGATTCAAGAGATCACTGCCAAATCCACACCAGGGGAAGCCATGAGAAGATAATTTAAAAATTATGCGGACCTTATTTTTGTTCTAAATAGCCCCCCGGGAATCAACAGCATTGACAGTAAGTTCAGGCCTTATCCCAACTTTCTTTTGAGTCCATGGAGAGCTCTCGAGCACAGGCACAAGAGGATGGTGATATCCATGTTGTTTCAGGAACTGGACTTCCAAGGCACCACTCCATTATCCAGCATTGGTCTACCTGAGAAGTCCCATTTGCCTTCTAAGCCCAGGCTTAATGGAAACCACCTGCTCTATCTTATGTGCATCTCTTCTCAGCAGAAGTCCAGGCAGGTTTAAAAACCAGGCATGTGAAAAGCTGAGTAACTTTGGGGTGGGGGTTGGGAGTTGTATCCCACATCCTGAATCCCTTTCAAATTTCTCTGGAGTTTGAGAGGGAAACCCCACTTCCGCCCCTGGTGCAAAGCTCTGGCCTTCACCAGCTGAGCCTGGCGGTTTTATGAGGTGCTGCCCTTGCTGGAACAAGGGTGCACACTGTATTGATGTTGCTTTTGTTAAAAAGAGAAAGAAATAGCAGGTAAATATAGGCATGTCCAGGCCTGAGGCTCTGGTTTACTTCTTCTGTAAGTCATTTGCTTCCCAGAAGATGTTAAATTCAAAAAGCCAGCTTTCCCCCACCTTTTTCCACAACCCTCTGAACTCCCTCCTGCCACTTGCTACCACCATTTGTGACTTTACTTCCCAAGTAGCCTGTCCAGAGGCAACTACCTCTTGGGTCCCTCCCTGGGCTCCCCTGAAGAGCACAGGCTCACTCAAGAACAGTGAAAGCACATCTGCATGGCTCTGGAGAACTGGGTCTCACTGAGTATGTCATAACCTGCCTGTGGCTTGTGAACCCAAAGCCCAGCTCTAATAGGAGCCCACTGCCTAAATCTTGTCTCCAGCTGCCGATGACACGGTTATGCAACAGAGAAACATAAAAATGGCAAAGTTACAGAGGTTGGGCTGCTGAAATGGTTGGGCATCATTAGTACCTGAATGTCTCAAGAGGGAAAACACCCCATGAATGTACAAAATGCAACAGGAGAGAAACTGGGAGTCCAGCTGGAGGTTTATGGGTTAAGACATCATTGTTGACAGAGACAGAGGCAGAGCTGCTTGGCAACGCTGAAGATCTGTGCCAGGGAGGTGCAGAGACCAGCCCCACAGTCCTCTCCTGCCCAATGCCTGCCTGGCCAGCAATAGCTCTTTGGGAGCCATATTAGGGTGGTGAAGTCACTAATGCTTAGCTCAACAGCTTCTTAGACCCCAGTTCTCTTTTTTGTGTTAGAATTGCCTTACACTTTTAAGCAGGTTTAACCTGTTTACAGGATCTTTTTGCACTTGGCTGAAATAACTTGAACTGACAGACTCAGAAAAGGATGGTAACGCCCACCCTATCACCTTAACAGCTCCTAACTACCAAATAAACTTTCCAAAGAGGTCTCCTGAATCCAGAGCTGGAAAAAAACAGCACCACTGTAGTAAGTCAAAGCCACTTACCCCTTGCTTCTTTGAACACCTGCAAAGCCTCAGGGTTGACTCTAACTCTCCCTGTGGATTCAACTCCCAAGGCCTCCACTTTCACCAGGTTCAGATTGGCTCCAAAGTCAATCAAGAGGTGAACGAACGCTGCTTCACAGCCATGCCGCAGGACAGCGTCCATCACACACACTGGGGAGCCCCGGGAGAAGCCTTGGATGTTGATGGGCCCGCAGCAGTTAAAATCTGGGTTGGCTCCAGCCTGGAGCAGCAGTCGGAAGCACTGGAGGTTGTGGTAGGCAGCGCTGATGTACAGTGGGCAGACCACCAGCGTGGTGAGGGGCCGCAGGGAGAGGCTGGGGACCCGGGAAGGGAGGTGGTGATTCACATCCACGTCTGCACCATACCTGGGTGGGGGAGAGAGAAGAGCAGAGGTTTGGAAACAAGGGCAACAGCACCAGAACTGCAGCCCAAAATGAAAAAATGGCAGGGGATGAGGCTGAAGAACAGCCGGAGGGTGAGCACCCTGCCTGTCTTTGGTACCTCTGAGGCCCACCACCCAAGAACCACTCGTACCTACCCTCAGATGGGCCTGGTGGGGCTTCTGAGTGGGGACAGTCTATCCAGCATACTCTGATCTTCAAGAAGCAAAGCTGTTTCTCTGCCTGCAACAGCCCGGGCTTCGGAGAGGGGAGAAGCAGCTGAGGAACATCTTTCCTGGCCCTCCTGAAGGATGTGCCAAGCACGGCCTTGGCACAAGGGACGGCTGAGCCCTGAGCCAGCACCACGTAATGATGGATGCTAATAAGCTGGTTGAGGAGCGAGGATGTTTTCAAATGACTCAGCTGAAGAGATGCAGTGAAATAACTTCCCCACCAGGATAAAACAGGCCAAAAAGCTATACAGGCAATCGATCTGACTGTCACAAACATCAGGGAAATGGAAACAGAAATCTGTGCTCAACAGCAAAACACGCATGACAAAATCCTGCTCCCGAAGGAGCTGGGGTGGTTGAAATCCCATCAGGGCGTCTAAAAGCGGCTTTTTCCCTAGTATTCAGCTCAGCTGAAGGGATGTACCCGCCAACTCTGAGCACGCAGGAAACTGGAAAAACACAGAATAATTGTGTCAGACCTTCTGCTCTCCCCATCCATCCTGCACAGCTCTGTTCACGGGTCATATATTATACTAGATACCACACGAGAGATTACAGTTCACAGGCCAGCTCTCCAGGCACTGAAGGGGAGACCTCCATGAGCTGCAGCAGCAAACCTCTCAAGCCTTTTGCAGCTGGCTTCTGCCTCACCCTACCCCACAGAGAAACCCATACACCTCATCTTTGCCCCACAGTGTCCCAACTGCTCCATAAGCCCTGCAGCCAGAGCAAAGCAGGCTCAGGCATACTGTGGTGCAAAAGAGGCACGCAACCAGGCTTAAGCCCTGCTCAATGGACATAAGTGTTGTCACGAAAAAGAAGCAGCACCCGCAGCATGCTTCTTTTTGGTAAGTATAGATAGCACCAAGTTGTGAATGAGCAAAAGACAGGCTTATTGCCTTTGGTTCTTTTCATTTTTTTGTAGGCAGCGAAGAATGCAGCCAAATAAATGGGAACAAAAAGGCCAAGTGTCACTCTCTAGAAAAGCATGAAAATTGAAAAATGGCAATGCTGCAGAAAGAAGCATTTATTTCCCCCAGGCTGGGTAACACCCAAGCAGTGGGGACACTAACTCCATCTACTTCACATGCAGCTTAGATGGGAAGAAGGAGGGAGACAACACAATCCCCTAAGGAGTAGCTGTTTTTTTAACTGCAACACTGCAGATCAAGCAAAGCCCTGTCCCTTCTCCCCCCAGAGAGATTAAAGGTTCCTTCACGGCCAGTCCCCCTCCCAAAATTCCAAACTGAGTATTCAGGGAACTAGATTTTTCTCTCTTCCTAGATAGCATTATATTCCTTTCTGCAGTTAATAAAAAAAATAAGGAAACCACCTGGGGACAAAGCCTGCCTCAAGGCAAGCTCAGTTCTTGCTGAACCCAGTAGGGGCCGGTCCCTATCCAGCAAATACTTAAGCAAACGTTTCAATTCTGAGGATGGGAATAGTCTCATTTAAATTAAGCACACACATAACAAGGGCCAAGGAAACTTGTCTAAGAGTTGCAAATGGCATGCCAGTGCATTTCTACCCCAGAGCACAAGAGCTCCCAAGCATGAACATCTTGGCTGAGATCTCATGAGACCAGTGGGGTGGGAAAATGCAGAAGGTCAGAGCTAGGAAGTAACAACACTACTGAGTGTGAGGTAGTCTTCACACCAGCCACAGGACCAAGCTTCACTTCCCAGGCCAGGCAGCTGGCCCAGATATCACTGCACACTAAGGGGATGCTCCCATCTTTTGGGGACTTTCACAGCACTTTGCTGAATCTGCATCACTTCACCTATGTTGCAGCACAGAGGGCTAAAGGAGGAAAGGTGTCTGTTCTCCATGAGCAATCACACATGTAGCCTGTAGATAAACCTTTTAAAATCAGACTGCACAAGTATTTGGTGAGTCATCTGTGCTGCTGTGGGACTTTCATAGGGCTGTTGCAGGGCCACTGCCTCCTATGGCTATAGTCCTGACCAGACAGCAGGTATCACTTCATTTCAGTCCTTTTTTTTCCCATTACCATCATCAAAATTCCAAGTGAAAACCAATTCAAAGCAAAATACCAAATTCTACTTTTATCACAGTTAGGCATGCACCTGAGGCATCAAGGTGATTTGTCAGATAATCTCTTTTCCAACATTTTAGTGTGGCAAAAGGATCCTCTCATGCTTAATATACTGGGTCAGCCCTCAGTTACACTGCAAGTACAGTGCAACAGTCTGATCCCATCATAAGCTATTAGGAAAGTAATCTATACCCTGGCAATATAACCATAAATATTTTTGCCAGCTGTCTTACAAAATGGATCACCATTCCATAGCTATGTGTGTACTTACTATTAATGGATACCGTTTCACCTATTGCTTGGTTAGCTAGTTCAGCAACTGTAGTAGTATTCAGGAATCCTGACTGTGCTATCATATGATTTAAAAAAAAAATGAACCAGGTGATGTTTAGACACCTGCAGCAAGGATGACTGGGTTGGGCTTTCTCTTCAGGACATTGAGACTCCCTCCAGGTGAATATGCTGAAATATTTCCTTATACCTCAGCGAAAGTGTCCTCCTCACTGCATTCCCCCTGACAAATCCTTTAGATCAACATTTTAAAAATCTCTGAGTGAGCTTTGTAACATAAGACTGAATTTTAAAGTAAGCAACTCCAAACAGATCTGTGAAATCTGTACTCCGAGATATTTGAAATGTTGGGCAATCTGACAATTTGGTATTAGCTTAGCAGCCTTGGGAGAGACCTTGTCTAATAAAAAGATATTGGACAAACTCCAGTTAATTTTTAATCCTGAAAGTTTTCCAAAATCTTGCTTTTAATATTGCTGGCAAGGTATCCTGAGTAGACGACACATAAATCAATGCATCAGCTCTCCATGTGCTGCTGAAATACCATTTGCTACATTTCACCCTGCTTTAGCGGATACATCAGGGGATATTCTTGGGAATGCAGCATGTGAGTTGAACCCTACCAACAAGCATGTGGTGATGGGGACATCCTCAAAGCTTGCTGAGAAAGGAGCAAGGAGGGGGGACCATCTCCCCTTCCTTCCACTTGCCAGCTTCCTTAAAGCTGCACTTGCATGAAAATTAACTTCCCCACAAGCAAAAAGGAAAGGCGAAAATCCCCAAGTATTTTGAAATTTTTCTATTCAAATCTTTCTGGCTGTTGTTTTCTAGCATTTGAGGTCATTGAAGGGATTCCTTGGAGAGCGTTTCTGTATGAATCCAAGTACACTTTCTTCTCTTTTACTATTTCTCTCTACAACTTGTATTTTCCTCTTACGATCCCTTACTATTTGGCATCACTGGCCCATAGAGTTGTTCAGCATGGTCCTTTACACAAAAAGCTTCCAAATTAGAAGAAAGGAAGTATCACAGAACACCACTGAGGACAAAACTCAAATTCCCACAGCTTGCTGCTAGACCTTGAGCCCACTCACTGCTTGTGCTGCAGAGGGAGTTTCCTGAGGGATAGCAGGTCACCAGTCACCCACCCCCAACTAAGGTTGGTGGTCATCACCTCATAGCAATGGCCATGACTCCTTGTCCCAGAGATGCCACCCCTTCGACAAGAGCTGAGCCTCAGGTGTCTGGCAAGGGGAGACAATCCGATGCCGCAGAGGGTGTCCTAGTGATGGGCAAACACCAGGCAGCCAAGAACAGCCAGAGGCGGTGACAAGCATCTCTCCTCCCACGGACAGAAAAAGGTCAGACCAGAAGAGCTAAGCAAAGGAGAGATGTGTTTCCAAACAATTTTTGGTTCTCTGGGGGATCTATCCCACTCTTAAATACAGCCAGGGGCATGGAGCTGGCAGTCAAGATGGAGGGGGGGGGGAGCGGGGGGAAAGATAGTTTTTAAGATTTGGATCTGATCGAAGAGTGGATGGTGGGCTCAGAAACAGAAACTCCTCTCTTGAGATTTGTCTTAGAAACACAGACATGGGAGTCACACAACAGAGCACAGAGCTGTTGTCAGGGCCAGGCGATGGGGAATACGAGGATGTCCCTTCAGGCACCTCTCCACCCTCTCCCCTGTGCATCTCTTGGCCAGCTTCACCAGGCCTGTGAAGGCCCTGGGCACACAAGGAGGGAACGGATGCTCTGAGCCCCAGAAAACCAGAATCATCTTGGTTGGAAAAGACCTTGAAGATCCTCCAGTCCAACCATGACCCCCACACTGACCGTTCCCAACTCTGGGTTTAAGATCCCTCAGCACTGGCTCAACCCGACTCTTCAACCCCTCCAGGGATGGGGACTCCCCCCTGCCCTGGGCAGCCCATTCCAACACCCAACAACCCCTTCTGGAAAGAAATGCTTCCTAAGAGCCAGTCTGACCCTGCCCCAGCACAGCTTAAGGACATTCCCCCTTGTCCTGGTGCTTGTTCTTGGTTCAAGAGACTCATCCCCCCTCTCTGCACCCTCCTTTCAGGGAGCTGTAGAGGGCTATGAGGTCTCCCCTCAGCCTCCTCTTCTCCAGACTAAACCCCCCCAGTTCCCTCAGCCACTCCCCATCAGACCTGTGCTCCAGACCCTGCACCAGCTCCGTTGCCCTTCTCTGGACACGCTCGAGTCATTCAATGGCCTTTTTGGAGTGAGGGGCCAAAACCTGAACCCAGTCATCGAGGTGCAGCCTCACCAGTGCCGAGTACAGGGGTGAGATCCCTTCCCTGTCCCTGCTGGCCACGCTACTGCTGACACAAGCCAGGATGCCATTGGCCTTTTTGGACACCTGGGCACACTGCTGGCTTCTGTTCAGCCAGCTGTCAATCAAACCCCCCCCCCAGGTCCCTCTCTGACTGGCAGCTCTCCAGCCACTCCTCCCCAAGCCTGTAGCACTGCTGGCAGTTGTTGTGGCCCAAGGGCAGCCCCCGGCATTTGGCCTTATTGAAACTCCTCCAGCTAGCCTCAGCCCATCGCTCCAGCCTGTCCAGGTCTCTCTGTAGAGCCTCCCTTTCCCCATGGGGGAAAATATTCCGAGGGAAAGACAGGGAGGTAGAGCCAACCCTCTTGCCACCAGGACCATCTCCAGCAGGCACCCAAGTTCTCACCTGATCAGCTCCCGGAGGATGTCTGCCCGGCCCACGCGCGCCGCATGATAGACGGGGGTGCTACGGTGATGCCGGCTGCCGTTGGGGTCAGCCCCAGCTTCCAGGAGGATCTTTGCACACTCGAGGTGCCCGTTGACCACGGCCACGTAGAGGGCGGTTTGCCCCTTCACGTCTACCAAGTCGATCTCAGCCCCTTTGCGGAGGAGGAAGTCGACGCAGGGGCCGTGGCCAGCAGTGGCGGCGATGCGCAGTGGCGTGCAGGGCAGCCAGCCACAGCACCACACCGACTTCTCGTTGATCCGGCTGGCATCAGGGGAGGGGAAAAGTGTCGGGTCAGAGAAGCCCTGCTGCCACCTTGCACCACCCCACCCCCCCCAGCCCCCGAGGAGAATGCTAGGAGAGCCCAAACTGCTCCCTTGAAGCTTTTCTTCCTCGTTTTTGGCACTTTATAGCATCCCTGAAAAGTTCCTGCCAATAACCTGACTAGGTGCTGCACATAGGTAGTCAGAGACTATGACACATACCAAAGTAGTGCCTGGAAAATGGGCTTTATCACAGGTCTGCTGTGTCAGGAGCTGCACATATGCACAGTGAGGGACAAACACTGCCTTTCAAAACTCAGTCAAAATTACCAATTAAAAAAAACCACTCCCTGCTCCCTTTTTACAGGGAGATGTCCCAGATCAGCAGTGACCCAGCTGAGGACCACAACCAAGCTGTTCCAAAGGGGACAGAAAGTCAGCAAAGCAGCAGGGAAACAGCAAAAGGACATGAGAGGAGGGGAGTAATGTACAGAAATGCAGGCATACACCCGTATCAGACCACTGGCAACATCCACACCCAGACAAGCACCATGGGATGGTATGCACACAAATCCAGGGAAACAGCCCTGCCAGCAAGGAGCCAGCTTGGGAGGTACGGCCATCCTGCACTGAAGAGCGTTAAGTAGGCCGTTAGCATCTTTGTTGGATGGCTGTACTGGCACTAAAAGCCTTTTCCAGTTTACTGAAAGAGATGGCTCTAACTGGTGGCTACTTAGATCCCCTCCCAAATAACCTTTAATAGCTGTCATGTTCATCCAGATCTCAGGTTAACCCTACAAATCTCACAAACATTCAGACTTCACTCCCAGATTCCCTGCAAATCACTGTGGGTACCATTTTAGCAGGAACATGCAGAGAGGAAGGGATTATTTCAAGGCCAATGTAGGCTGGCAAAAGCGCTCTTTAGCCAGCACAGCAGTGGATTTGCTCTTCTAGCTCACTCTATGCAGGCCCACGTAACTGGTACAGGACAAAGCAGTTTTTATACAGTGCATTTATAGAGTTTGCTAGGAGAGCAATGCCTTTTTTTTTTTCCAACCATGTTTTAGGAAGAGGAATAGTATAAAACCCACATCAAGCCCTCAGCTGTCAAGTCTTATGATAAAAGTGCTCCCTTTAACCTTGGAGGTTTGGGGATCTCCACGCCACACCTACTCCCAAATTCAAAGAAGTCACTTCTCTGCTCACTCCATCACCTGTGTGATGGTGCTGGAGGTCCAGCCCTCTTCTCACCAAACTTTTGCTTCTTCCTGCAGGGAAGGATGCCTGGCCCTGCTGCCACTGTGTTCTCACATGGCATGGGACAAAAATAAGGCAAAAAATCTCAGACCAAGAGTCCAAATTGCCCCAGCTGCCCAGGTAGCAGAAGGGGGGTCTGGCTCATTCTCATTTTTGCTTAAAGGGCACTTTTTTGAGGCTGGGAGATATTTTGCACTCTAAGCAGTTTTCTCCATGGTGCAGGAAAATTAATTAACTGTCCCCACAGTCACAGACTTAGCACTGGGCAGATTTTGTAACATAGGGTGTTTCAGGTTTATATTCGATTGTAATCCCTTTTGTATGTTTTTCCCATTATACGCAGGCTCCTATTTTCGTGGTATTATATTTCTACCCAGATTCTGAAAAGGGCTGGTGCATGGCTGCCACATTCATGAACTGACGTGAGATTTGCCTCTTGGGAGACCACAGAGGGGATGACTTTGGGGGGTGAGTGGAGCATCCTCCCAGCCTCTCCCATAAAGAGGAGCGAGATGGGGGGGCCCCAGAAGAAACAGACTGTGGGGATGGCATGAGGCGAGCGGCCCCAGGGAGTCACTAGCCAAAAATCGTTCCAGCGGGACCTCGCACCTGGCTTCCCCCTCGTCCCCGTGAGGGTCTCCAGAGGCAGCGCGGAGGGTGCGGGCAGGGCGGGTGCGAGGAGCCCCCCTCACCTTTGGAAGCTCTCCTCCTGCAGCAAGCTCTTGAGGGTGGGCAGGTCCCCCACGTAGGCCGCGTCGTGCAGCCGGGTGTCCTCGCAGTGCTCGATGGGGTGGTCGCAAAACTGCTCCCGCAGCCACTCCTTCAGGTTACGACCTGCGCTGGAGAGAGA